CGCGATCTCGTGTTTCGTTTCAGCGACGACCGGACGGACGTCTCGCCTCACCTGTCTCATCGCCGATCGCCCAGACCAGCAGATCCACGCACGCGGAGTTGGCCATCACGTTCACCTTGAAGCGATTCACCGTCCGGAAGTTCGTGTCGATGTCCTCGCGCTCGCTCGCGTCGTGCTGCCGCGACTGCAGCTCGGTCTGGCCCGAGAGAAACAGACCCTTCACGAACTCCTGCACGTCCCTCGTGAACGGGGCCGGTAAGTCGCGCTGATTCTGCAGCAGCTCGCGCAACAGTGCCACCATCACGAGATTCATCGTCTCGCTGAACGTGCGGTATGGAAAAATCTGTACCTGGCCGGAACTGTACACCTGAAAACAATGGCGAGACCAGTTCAGTTGCGTATCAGACACGAATGTAACGCGAGACGTACCTGTTGCGCCTCTTCGTCGAGGAACGTCAGGATCTCCTTGGTGAGCAACTTCTTGGCCAGAGCCAGCACGCTCTGCAAATGCACCACCGTAAACTGCATCCCGGCCCTCCTCTCGGGGCTCTCGTTACAGCGCATCTGCGGGAACTGATTGAAGCTCGAGCCGTAGCGGCTGAAGAAGTACGTCGTCGGGTCGTACGGCACCGACAGGAAGGACTGCAGCGACGGTCTCTTGCCGCAGTGATAATGGTGACTGTCGTAGCCCGGGAACGCGTTGTCCATGCAGGAATTGAAGTTGCCGCTCATCGACCGCGGGATGATGGGCCTGAAGTTGGAGAAGCTGTGCTGCTTCTTGTCGGCCATCAGGCGGCTCTCCGTGCTGCCCGCCGGCGAGGGTGTCTCCCGACGCGGGAAGATGCGGCAGAGCAACGGCGGGTCCGTGCACGCGAAGCGACCCATTGATCTCGCCAGACCGATCAGCACCGGAACCAGACACTTGCATAGCGATACTGAAATACAATACGTAATGTCAGAAACTAAGGTTTCTTACTTTATGATTACAATTTTTCTGTATTGCAACGTACACAAAAATTTTCAATAATTGGAGCACTATTGCAACAACATATTCCTGAGACCAAATAAAAAAAAGTCCCGTACTACTTTTCCCTCCGACAAACAGTTATCGAGATATCATAAGCTAAACATTGACAAAGTTATACATTTTCTCTTGAACATCTCAAAAAGTATCAGGCAAATAAAAAAATGTTTCAGAGAGTTGTTCATATTAATTAGTGGAATAAGATTTACAAAATTGGAGGTGACCTTTACGTGATCCTCAAGCAACTATTCAAATTAATGATACCATCTCAAGTCCCCCTCGAAACCATACAACTTTTGTGAATGAATGAATTTCTGAAACATTTTTGTTTGCTGGGCTTAGTTTTCGAGATATTCTACTGTCCAAGTTGAAATGGGACAACCAGCATAACTTTATCGTATTTATTAAATACAAAAATTCAATGATCGACCAACGACAAGTCATGCTTACTCTTCGCCTGCAGGCCCCTGTTGTTATTTTGTTCCTTGTATCCGCGTATCAGGTTGGTCAGAACGGCGAGTATCTCGACCTGGGTCGAGATGATCTCCTCACGCGCCGGCTCGCACCTGGCCGCAACGTCGCTCAGCAGCGTGTTCAGGCAGAAGCTGAAACGCTCCGCGACCGGGACCCGTTCGGCGAGCGAGGACTTGACCTCGTCCCGCCACACCGCCTTCGGAAGACCGCGCAGCAATCGCAGCAGATACGGCAGAATTTTATCCCGGTGCTGCAGGCCGGACTCCAGAAAATAAATTCCCAGCGCGATGGTCGCATCCTGACCCCTCTGATCCAGGCGGTAGACACCCTGGGCGGAGTCTTGTGGGCACAACTTGTACAGTTTGGCCACCTGTAATTGAGTGAAATGCGTTACCCTTGGACTCTGAGAAAAATTCAGCAAAAATTCCGCTCGTTTCTCCGATCGCGAAGGACAAATTTGGTTTTTTAAGGCAGAAGATCTTACAAAACATACTGCAACTATTATATTTAAATAATTTGTATTCCAATGAATATTAATATCGTGTGCAAATTGTAATAAAACTGAACACTATACGATTTCACATCTTCATTAATATCTTATATAAATAGAAATAATCTTATAAAGACGTATCGATTTCTCCCTTCCTCCAATATTCCACAAATAATTGTCTATCGTGTTATCCTGGCGAGTGGTAATTTCCGTAGTGTATATTTCCACTAGTGCTCGGAAGAAGAATCGGGTAACATGGCAAATTGACAATCGCCCGTCCGCCCGTCATTCGTTGCACACGGGTGAAGACCGATTCTGCGGGTACCCGTATCATACGGATGCCTACTTCATACGAGTATTCGCATTGCACAAAAATATGTAACATATATGTATAATGTCATTCGAGAGATAGCCGTTTGATGCGAGTCGAGTATTTTTGTGCAATGCGAATACTCGTATGAAGCAGGCATCCGTATGACACGGGTACCCGCAGAATCGGTCTTCACTCGTGTGCAACAAATGACTACGTTTCCACCGAGGGTCAGAGTCGGGCTAGAGTCGGGTCAGAATCAGGTTGGGGTGAGCGTTTTTGCGGTGGAAACACCAAACCGGGTCGGAATCGGGTTGGG